AATTCTCCGAATTTATACAGGTGGTTTTCAAAAAACATCTTATCTAAACAAGCAGTCAGTTCAAAAAGTAAACTGATTCAAAGTGCTGTGACAATATTAGCAAATTTATGTAACAGGAAGTAATAGCAGAGAAAAGAATTTTTTGTCTTGATATCAGTCATATGACAAAAAAAAGTATATTTTAATTATCTATACACGAACAACTGATAGTGATAGCAAGCTTACCTCAGTGTTACGTCAATGTCCTTCCTCTGGTATGTTGTATTAGGTCTAAACATGTACCATCATATCTTTGGCCGACGAGGAGCATGTGTACAGGTAGCTTACCGGTAATATCTCAACTCTCCTCAAAAAAATACCATACCTGGTCTCGTGTATTTGTCTTTTTAGATAATAATCTCTTTAAAACCCAGCTGAAATTCGTACAGTGTACAATAACCAAACATGGTGGATAACATAAGGTCAACAACAACACTAAACCGTTCCCATATCATACACTACACATGTAGATAAAGAGGTATACTTCGGCAAAGAATGCACACTAGTTATTTTTATGCCGTGGCTAGTGCATTTTTTCAAAACATGAATGAAACATAATCTTTATCGTTCCATATCATTTCACAGCTGTACATTTGTTAAGACAGGCCAGATTGATTGATTTTTATTTTTCATTTTGCCTTGAATATTTTTGTATTTCTGTGCCACAAACTTTTTTCTCAAACCTCTGGCTAACTTAAATTAACCTTTGTTTAAAAACATTTTCTAATTACTGGTTCGAATTACAATAGTTTTCTGGCCAATACAATGTATACTACTACAAGCTTTGAGTATCTAAATTGTAAAACTACCAGTATTGTTTATGGATTAATATATGTTGGTGAACCAAAGTACAGTTAAGACAACGTATGAATGGTCATCGTTCAGCAGTGAACCGAGGAGAGAATCAATATTTGTATCAACATTTCAATTTCCCGGACCATTCCACGCTGTCAATAAATGTCCGTATGTAGGAAAAAAATGACCACCGTACAAATGACCCCACATTGACCACACCCTTCCGTAGATAACATGAGGAACACTTTATTAGACTGCTTGTCACTGCTGCGCCATATGACTGCAATGACCGCGTGGACTCCGTAGGAGTCTTAGAAAATATTTTTGTTAAAGAACTTAATAAAAACTCATTATTATTTTTTTCTACTATTTAAATATGTTCCCAGTAAGTATGCGTCAATAACAACTCCGTATATTTCATGTTTAATGAAGCAACGAGGGACAGTTTGTATTACTCTCTACGTCTCTCGATGGTAAATTCAGATTCCTGTTTCCACCTGCCTTGATATATGTTCCAAGCATATCATACTCTTTGTAAATAATGGATACCTTGCCTGCGTATGTCCATGATATTACGACAGAAAAATGCTTCAAAGTAAATCAATACTTTAATAGTGACAGTTTGTACTGTATTTACCTGTGATTAATGAAATTTTATACATCTATAAAGACAAATATCAAAACTAATTATTTCCTTTTTTCTATTTTTTTTTTTTTTTTTTTTGTTTATTATTATCTTTAATTCACATTGTATCACACACAAAAAACTACTACGTGATTTGCATCTTTAAAAAGGTTCACATATAAACACACCTCACACATTCAGTATTGACCTGTACATAGAGGTAACATGCTTACACACAATGCAAAAACATACTTCATTAACATACTTTCATATTACAGAATCTAATATATACAGAAATGAAATCGAGGACAAAAAAGTAACAAAAATATTAGATTTTGATCAACTGGAGGAAATGGGAGATGAGAAGCAGAGGGATGGAGATGTGAGAGGTAGGGGCTGTTTTACTTGAGGAATGTCAAGGATAATTAGTTGGAAATATTTAGATATCAAGTTGAATTAGGTTTTACCATTTACTCCAGGTTTTTCTAATTTTTTTCTTTCAAAAGTCAATTTTGTTGTATACTTCTGTAAGTTATAGTAATTTTTGCAATTGTTGACTAAAGCGTTGACATTTAAAGACTTATTAAGGCATCTGTTTCCACAGAAAGATATTGTCTAATGATTAGAATGATTACATCATCAGCATTAAAAATAAACCTGAATAAGAAGGATTGTTTTTTATTGATATATAAAGAGCATCTAGGAGTGTTTTTAGACTTTTCAGATTTTGTACTTTCTGGCATTCCCTTATTAAAAGATTTATAGTTTCCCTTTCTGAATTGAAAAATGAATCCAGCGAACAAGCAACTATACCGACTTTAAATAGTTTAGAATTTGTGGGAAGAATATGGCGTGGTATTCGAAATTGAAGCCATTGAAATTTAGTATTTTTTGTGACTTTATACTGAATTGTATGAATTTTATTCCATTCTCTTATATTCTTGCCATTTTATTCTGCCAGTAGCTATGATATTATTTCGATTAAGAATGATTTAGATAAACTTGGATACTAAATATATTTTGCAAATAGATCTTTATATTTTTATCTAAGAAATGGCGAATAACTGGTTTCAAATTTTTTGTTAAAGGGTCTGGCAGAAATTTCCGAATCCCAGAAATTAATCTCTGAACTTGAAGAAAATTTGTATGAAGTTGATATTTTTCATAAAGTACTTCAAAGATATAGAAGGAAAAGTTATCTGTATTCTTGATCAGATCTGAAAGAATGCGTATTCCTGATGTATACCATAAATGATAGAAGACTGATTTACCTGCAGTAGCAATAATTTTTTATGCCAGATATTTTGGGTTAAAAGTGACCTTTCCTCAAGTTCTCCAATTTCTTTTGAATTATTCAATTTTCAATTTGTACCAAGCTTCAAACACAAACTTTGTTAGTACATATATTACAATATTTTGATATACATTCACCACCGAAATTCATCAACACCATATCAATTTGGCCTTTCCTTTTCCCTTTGAATGATTTTATAGTCTCCTAACACACCCAAGTTTAAGAGAGTCAATAAAAATATACAAATTAACAATCTTCAATCCGCCATCGCAATATTTTTTATTTTATCAGTTTTACTATTCCATAAAAATTTTAAAAGTATGGTATTGATTTCTTTACTCATCTTTTCACTGGGGTTTGGAGGGACATAAACAAACGATAGAACTGGAATATCAATAATTATTTAATTACATTAATCAAAACAATTGCAGTTAATTTCCTTTTTGTCCAGATTACAATTAGACTATTCTATTTTTATATCAAAATTCAGCTTGTAATGTTAAGTTTACATCGAATTCTATACCGAGTATAGTAAATTTGATTTTCCCCGCTGCTGATTAAACTCGGGAAGCATTTTATCTTTACTGCATTTCTTGCTACCAATTCAAATCATTTCAGTTTTATAAACATTTATTTTTTAGCTGTATACATTTGCAAATCTGTTTAATTCAATGAGAGTTTCATGAAGTGACTTCTCTGAATCATCTAGTACAAGAAATGTATCGTATGCATATTGAGATATTAGGGTTTCAGAATTATTTGTCTAAATTCTTTCATGTGACTGTTTTTCCTCAAAGTTAAAGCTAAACTTTCCACACACATAATAAAGATATAGGGGGCAATTGGTTCATCTCGATGACAAGATCTTTTAATTTCGAAAAAAGCTTATTAAAGTTCCCTCCTTGGTTAATTGTAGATGAAACATTGTTACGTAATGTATTAAACCATCTTGAAATATCATTACCAAAGCCAAAAAATCAAGTCTTTTCTAATATAATTCCAAGACACAGAGTCGAATGTTTTTTTCAAAATCTATCATCAAAATCATACCAGGTATATCTTTTTCTTCATTTTTCATGACATGATATAATTAACATGTGTTCTCCCAATTGTACCTTCCAGATCAAATCTCAGTCTAATAATAACTAAATTTTTATTCTGTATGAGATAACCACTGATGCCATTTTATATGCTACATTCAGTAATGATATTGGACGCCAGTTTAGAAAAAAATTCTAGATTTATCACTTTTTGAAAAGCCTGTTAGCACCCCTTGTCACTGAGATATTGATAGTTTACCTTTTAAAAAGCTTTTAGTTATCTTACTACAAATTTACCAATTCTAATCCAGAAAAAAATGAAAAATTCCACAGTGAATCCATCAGATCATGGACTTTTATTATTTTACATATTTTTTTCCAAAAACATACTTGCTTCTTTGAGAGAGCTTTAACCTACTGTAGACTTTGATTCCTGATTCCGAGTCTATGAATTTAGGTAGGTTATTTAAATTAAGATAAATTTCTAGGTCAATGTCATTTAAGTTTTTATTATCACGATATAGATATTTATAAAAGTATCAGACATTCTCTAAAATTTCCGGATTATTTTTTAAATATATGTACTATTCCCTAGGTTAAAAAAGTAACTGGAAGGATTTTCCTTCTCTTTCCACTTCCCACTCTATATCTTATGATACTCCCTTTTAATCTATAAAGACGAATAGTTTCTAAATCTTTCTTTTTCTTGTCATTATCACTTAATTCTATATTTATCTGAATTTCTAGATGTGTACAGATTATATCTACTCATTTTCTCTCAAATCGCTCTGCTTTTCTTATTAGAAGAGTAAGAAATTGTCTTACCACTAATGTTCATTAAAAGAGTTTCAGTAAATAATTGATCACCAATGTTAAACTGTAAATTTTCCTCCTGTATATCATTTATCCGAATGTGATTATAAACAGGTAAACTATGTTGTATTTTTGTATCAGTAATAGTATCATTAACTAATTTAACATATTCTGTATCAAACAGAAGAGAATTGTTGAACTTCAGAGACCGCTTCCCCTTTCCTTTTAATTATATTTTGTATGTGATATATGACACTGATATAAGCATCTGCATTGTGGTATATAAATAATTAGTTAACAGGTAACAGATATTTTTTATGATATAATGCATAGTGATGTTTCCTCCTACTAACCTCCTGCTTGATTGTATATCAATAACCGACATAAAGAATTATCATTGTTTATTATGAGCGAGGAGAAAGCAATTTAAATTACAAATTTGACAGTCTCTATTTTTTGGAATACCGTTTACCATAGCCAAAGCATTTCCTGTCTGTTTTGTTTGGGAGAAAAACGCGTTGTCGTTAAGCACCAAGTCCCTGATAGGTACGTTCTCGGTGTAAAACACTTCCACGATAACATTGTTTGTTACTTTCACTGTTTCTCTGTATCCGTATTGAACCCTGACGAGAAACGGATTGTCGTATTGATTCAGCAACACGAGTCGTTGTCTGCAGAAGTGGTCACTTGGGCTGCCTTTGACCGCAAGGACAATCTGGACTTTGTGGTTCACAGTGTGACAGTAAAAGTCAGAGAAGTACATGTTCATGTTTGAGTTCAACAGAAAGTATGTCGGGACATGTAGCCTCACCGATCCGAAATATGAACTGTCTGGGGGAAGATGTGTCACTGGGTCTACATTAGCACTGAAGAACAGACCCTGTATTTGTCCGTTGAGTGTTGAAGCCTGATCCCCTCCCCAGTTCTTAATGTACTTGTGCATGACGCCACCTGTACTCTTGATTTGTTGGAAATACCTCACCGACTTATTACGATAAAAATGAGAAATGTGTGAAAAATGTGGAAATCTCGACAGGAAATTAAAAGCCTTTCCGTATAATTCACGCACTTCATCCTGTGTCATGTCTACAATATAAAGACAGGTAAAACAGTGAACAAAGACAGCACATATTGCATGTCTATAACCTACATAGGCTTCTATGATTGTTGTCTTTTCAAATAAATATAACTGAGTCAAAAATGCTGATGTATCTCCCCCTCTTTAGAGTAAGCCTTTTGTAATTCATTTTCATGTCACATACAATGTATCTAAACAAAAACCCTATTAGAAACAAATATTGATCTTCACCGTACACACTAACACAGTCACATCTACACAGTACACACTAACACAGTCACATCTACACAGTACACACTAACACAGTCACATCTACACAGTACACACTAACACAGTCACATCTACACAGTACACACTAACACAGTCACATCTACACAGTACACACTAACACAGTCACATCTACACAGTACACACTAACACAGTCACATCTACACTGTACACACTCACACAGTCACATCTACACTGTATAAACTGTCACAATCACATCTACATTGTACACACTCACACAGTCACATCTACATTGTACACACTAACACAGTCACATCTACATTGTACACACTCACACAGTCACATCTACACTGTATCACTAACACAGTCACATCTACACTGTATACACTGTCACAATCACATCTACATTGTACACACTCACACAGTCACATCTACACTGTATACACTGTCACAATCACATCTACATTGTACACACTAACACAGTCACATCTACACTGTATACACTGTCACAATCACATCTACATTGTACACACTCACACAGTCACATCTACATTGTACACACTAACACAGTCACATCTACATTGTACACACTAACACAGTCACATCTACATTGTACACACTAACACAGTCACATCTACACAGTACACACTAACACAGTCACATCTACATTGTACACACTAACACAGTCACATCTACACTGTACACACTAACACAGTCACATCTACATTGTATACACTAACACAGTCACATCTACACTGTATCACTAACACAGTCACATCTACATTGTACACACTCACACAGTCACATCTACATTGTACACACTAACACAGTCACATCTACACTGTACACACTAACACAGTCACATCTACATTGTATACACAACACAGTCATCTACACTGTATCACTCACATTCATATCTTTAAGTAAACTGTAGAATCAACTCAATGATCTTTTTGCGCGAAACGATATCAAAACCGAAATAAAGTCACAAGGACAGAATTGATGACGAATCTGTAAATCTTCCGCTAGCTCTACTGATTTCATCAGATAATACTGCATTTTGTTTCATATTTATTTTAAGAAGTTATAATGTAGTGCTTGTAAGTTCCTTTGTTAGAATTGATATTAAATTTCTGTTGGTATACAGGAATGCCATTATACATGTATTAGACTTACGTACATGTGGTAAATGTGATGACTGTAGAGAAAGAATTTCCAATGTACATCTCCCTGGTGTTGAGTGACCGAACGGTATTAAACAGTTGTAATTTATACTCTGTTGCCGGGTTCAAGTCGAAGGGTATTTCAAACTTTGTTGCTAAGCCTTGTTTTAACATTATGATCCAAGCGTCAGGAGGGTAGATTTGATGGAGGATAACGATGAGGCCTTCCGTTTGATGGCAAATGCTCTTTAGGTTAGTCAAAACGTACTTCCGTGGGCCAATACTATCCACATCCACAGGATATGAGATCTGAAGATAAAGTCAAACGGCTCCACAGTATCCACAAACATGCAATGTGAACCTCATCAAAAACTTCACTGTAACCATAATCACAAAACGTGAACCTCACAAATATATATATATATATATGTGTGTGTGTAGAACATCATTCCACAATATCTAAAACTCATTACCCTTCCTTTCGAGAAATGGAGTATGAAAAGGAGTGAAACTTGTTCAGCCTTGCTCTACATTAATTCAACAATTTTCAGTATTCGAAGCTCATCTAAACTTTTCTGTTGCATCAAATTAAAATGAACACCCAACGATGGTCCTTTGTTATCGTTTCCGGTCAAAGAAAGTCCCCTGTCTTTTCCCGTCCAAGAAGACCATCTATAATTGTTTCCCGTCAAAGACGGTCCCCTGTAATTGTTTCCCGTCCAAGAAGACCATCTGTAATCGTTCCCCGTCAAAGAAAATCCTCTGTTACCATTTCCCGTCAAAGACGGTCCCCTGTAATTGTTTCCCGTCAAAGACGGTCCCCTGTAATTGTTTCCCGTCAAAGACGGTCCCCTGTAATTGTTTCCCGTCAAAGAAGATCGCCTATAATCGTTTCCAAACTTAATTCATAGCATACCTTGCTTGGAGCATCTGCCAGGAGGTCTAAGTATGTTGTTAACGGCTGTATAGTGACCATAAGGTAGTTAGTTGTTTCACCTGTTTTGTTTTAAAATGAATTATTTATATGTATCTCCTTACAATCTCTCTTAAGTGAAAAAAATCAATGATATTAACGTACAACACAAATACTCAATAGACAATTTTTGAAAAAGTCGATCATGAAGTTGTAATTCTATGAATTTACATTATATGGTTTATAGACGTTACCTCCCTTGAGTTGAACCGATCCCTTGCCTCCCATCACTATTCGGTGCCAGACACGTGTGTTGTTACGAAAGGTCTGTACACTGTACACAATCACAGTTGCTTCACAACTCTTGACTACGTCATCAGGACACGTACACACACATTGTGACGTGTAGAGAAAGGCATGAAATAGCAGATAACTCCGGCTATTAAATAGTTGTAAGTATAAAAAATCAGACGGAGGTTCTTTTCTACGTTTGATGTCTATTTGGAATGCAACTTGGTTGTTGTTTCCATGTCTTTTCAAACTGACGGTCGTTATCTAGGAATAATAAGATGCAATATTTAACGGTATTTTATCGTCCGCACAACAGCCAATGTCACGTAAAATTATCATTCGCATAAGTTAGAAGTTCTGTGTCTACGGTTAAATGGATTGTTGTATTCCTTGAGATTCCATCATTGATATCTGAAAACGTTACCTGACTTATTTAAATTGACTGTGTTTTCCATTGCTTTAGAAAGATGTACTGATAATGTATAACAATGTACAATGGTCTACCTGGTCTTGTCCGTTATTTACAACCTGGTTGCAATCGTCTGTTGCAACTCGCCATGTTCGTTATGTCAGTTTTACATCGGCATTACAGCTTTCTTCCTGATAGTAAATAAAATGAATGCATTGTGTGAATATTTATTGATCTAATTCAAAACTACTTTAACGAGGATTGCCTACAGTCCGAAGACAAATAGATTATCTTACCAACGTCATTTAATTACCGTTTGCTGTTCAAATAAACACTATTACGTCGTTTAACGATAAGTAAATTAAGGAAAAAGTAGCGACATTATTTTCAGAAGAGTTCACTTTATTACACATAGAAAATATAGCACACATATATACACATACGTACAGACGTTACTCTTTGTTCAATGTGACTGTTCTTGTACGACACGTTGATTATCACAATTATCATGACTGGTCATGTCCTCTAAATCATTAGTCCTTAGAATATGATAAGATATGCCGCTGTCTTTCTAAGTCAATATTATAACATTCTTCCTCGATATTATAACCATTTTCATTATATAACTTACTTTATCATTAACTTCCTCTGGCGCTGTTAATCTTTTTTTTAAGTTTGAATTTTAGGTATAATTGAGGAAGTAAAATTTCCAGTCGCCGTAACGGAATTACACTTGTTACAGTATCTTTGACAGTGTAACTGTTTGGTGTTTTTTATATATTGCTAATTATGAAGTGAGCTGAAGGCAGGAAATAAAGTTCTCCAGATCTCTTTTACCTGTATTGCTAAAATGGAATTCATTTATATTTTACAAATACTTTTCACACCATTGATCTTCATACCACGGTTGTACAAAGACTGGCTAGAGATAACCTATGTTCAGTAAACATTTCCAAATATGAAGAAAAGAACAAAACCGTGTACACTCTTAAGTGTTTCCCTGTTATAACTTTGTTGACAGGTAAAATTGATATTTTTTAGTATGACTACGGTATAACACACCACGGTATGACTATGGTATAGCACTTCGCGGTATGACTATGGTATAACACACCACGGTATGACTATGGTATAACACACCGCGGTATGACTATGGTATAACACACCGCGGTATGACTACGGTATAACACACCACGGTATGACTATGGTATAACACACCACGGTATGACTATGGTATAACACACTACGGTATGACTATGGTATAACACACCTTGGTAAGGCCACGGTATAACACACCACGGTATGGCTATGGTATTAACACACCACGGTATGACTATAGTATAACACACCACGGTATGACTATGGTATAACACACCACGGTATGACTACGGTATAACACACCTTGGTAAGGCCACGGTATAACACACTTTGATATAAATACAATATAACACAATCCTCGAAATTCCTTATAATACAATTTGATATACAAGAACTAAACGGTAAAATATATAACATACTTAGCCACTCTATACATGTTCTGTTCCTGATAGGGACGTCTAACACCCAATCTCCTTCAAACAATAAAACTTATCAGTTATATGCTATCTATTTATATCACAATCTTTGTACTAGTTTAGTCTACTTACCGTTAATCTGTTGACGTCATCAAAAACCCACAAAATGAATTCTCCGAATTTATACAGGTGGTTTTCAAAAAACATCTTATCTAAACAAGCAGTCAGTGCGACATTGATTTTAAAGGAGAGCGATAATATCTGTGTAAGTCATCACATGTGTTAACACAATGCACTTCGGAAGAAAATTTCAACATTGTGTTAATCTCCTGCAGATTTTTTAGATAACGAGGCCAGTTCAAAAAATAAACTAAATCAAAGGTAAAATTTCTTTTTTCTGATATCATCCGGTTGATGTTGTCCTGTCATCTCTACCTAAATCCCGACGGATGTTGTCCAGTCATCTCTACCTATATTCTAACGATTGTTGTCCTGTCATCTCTACCTATATCCCGACGGATGTTGTCCTGTCATCTCTACCTAATCCCGACGGATGTTGTCAAATTATCTCTACCTATATTCTAACGATTGTTGTCCTGTCATCTCTACCTAAATCCCGACGGATGTTGTCCTGTCATCTCTACCTAAATCCCGACGGATGTTGTCCTGTCATCTCTATCTAAATCCCGACGGATGTTGTCCTGTCATCTCTACCTATATTCTAACGAATGCTGTCCAGTCATTTCTACCTATATTCTAACGAATGTTGTCCAGTCATCTCTAACTATATCCCGACGGATGTTGTCCTGTCATCTCTACCTATATTCTAACGATTGTTGTCCTGTCATCTCTACCTATATTCCGACGAATGTTGACCAGTCCTGTCCTGTTTACAAAATTCGGAGATGGAGAATCTATTTCAGCATTTTTTTTATGTATATGGCCTAAGGAAAAAGAATAGAAATCTGCAAAATGGCGGCGTCCAGTGATGGCTAACGCGAGGTGAGTGCAAATATTTGATAATATGAGATTAGAAATGAAAAAACTCTTTTCTATATGGGTATGTAGGATAGGGATATTCCATCCGAGGGGTCACAAAATGTGGTAAAACCCGAGGCTTGCCGAGAGTCTTATAATATTCTGACGGATGTTCTCAACACCAGGGCGACCGTTCGCATTGGATTGAAATTTTGATCAAAATTGTTCACATTTAAACATTTTCATTTTCTACTCTGTAAACTAACATGACATATTCTAAGTAATGTTTTCTCGCTCTATGATTCCTGGAACTTTCAAAAGAAACGTACGTGATACTGCAATTCGTGTTTGTGAATTCTACTGGAGCTTATTTAGTAGGCGTAAATTCAAGTACTGAAATTCTTGCTAACAATATCTTATAATGGATACTTAGAATGCCCCCTCTACTTTCTGGTTCTTTTACACCTCATGATATCTAAAGTAAAAAGGAGCTTACCAAAACTGTTCAAAAAGACATTTTCAAATCCTCCAATGGCAAAGTAAGTATAAAAGACATGTTTAGATTTAAACTCTATAAAAAGTACAAGGAGAATAAGACCAGGTGCTCCGGAAGAGTGTCTTCCATTTCATCGATAACACCCAACATATAAATTTCGGTCAATCGAAGGTAACTTCATGTTCTCAAACAAGATCGATGTTAACATCTAGCACACTCACGAGCATCGAACACGTCGAACTTCCTATCGTATTAGAATGGGATAAAATATGCCCCTAGAAGAGGATTTCGAGCCAATAAATCTTCTCCATAATCTTCATCAACTTGTATTTCTTAAACCTGTGTTGCGAGTATCGGATTCTCTGAAACGTAAAATAACATTACCTTTGTCATTGTTAAGATTCTCACTCCCGAAGGTGACAAACACTTTAAGACTGACTCAGATTTATACTGTGGGATTTTGTGATGCGACAGGAGACACTTTCCATTCTCCAGGTCTTCACCCCCCCTTGATATCCAGTTTGATTTCATGAAAATATCCATAGTGATTTTGATCGTATCTTAGTTATATCTTAAATAGAGCATTGTCTGATATTCCTGTATGAAGAATCTGTAATGGAGGAAGATCGGTAAGGTTAATATCTGGTACGGTATTCATATAAATATCAGAAATAAAACTGATTCGTTCATAAGGAAAGTATGTCAAGTCATGTAAAAAGGTGCGAGAGAAGACTTAGACAACAGGAAATCTCGCGATCAATTTCATTCCACTACAGAGGGCCACATTTGCTGTGCCAGATAGTCTCTCCTTCAAACCCGTAGTTAAATGTCGTTACTTTCGTCAAGTGTCCATTTGGAAAAGAATTGTTGGCGTATTAAAATCATCATTTTTATCTTTACTTTCAGCGACGTTAAGATCCCATACTCTTGTATTGTTAGAAATAACAAATCAAAAAGTGAAGCTGTGCTGCTAATGATGAGATAAGTAATATGTACCTGCCGTCGGACATTAACCTCTCGACAAATTAAGATTCATAGGTTAACTAAGCACAAGTTATAAACGTTATTTATTTTATAACAATTGCGAAGCAAGCTTTAATCTTAAGGCAATCACTTTTGTTGGCCGTGATGGAAGCATGCAAGGGGTCTTAGAGTGGGCGTAAACCGGATTGTCTGGGGGGAAACCCACGTGGTCACGGAATCGAACCCCGCATGCCTGGGTGAAAGGCTTTACCACTGCGCCACCCGACCACAACCTAATCGACTGCAGTACATGATTACAATCTTGTAAACTTTTTACCATCTTGTTACATTTTTTCTACCTAAGTGTACATAGGCTCCGATTACAGCCAAACACTTGGTCAATTTCTTACAATCTCGTACACTATGTACTTCACTATGTTTCACGCTTGGCATTTGTCTGATAAAGACGGCAGTGTAGTCATCAAAGTGTCTTACTTGAATATTCTACAGGTTGTGTTTTAAGAACATTTGCTTTATGTTATCAACATCTGTTTTTTACGTAGTCATTGCCAATCAATAGTAAACATGCCAACAAGAGAAAATCCACAGATTCCAATAACAGCTCTGATTTCACCAACAAATGTCTTATTCATCTAAGTTTTCAATACACAAATGTAAGTAAATAAATCATCACAATCATGCCTCTACCCTAACAGATATATCCGGTATAGATCTATAAATAAATTTGAACACGCATTGGAAACTTCTAAAGGACTTAAACAAAACTAGTATGTTCGTTGTACAAATGTATAAAATATGTTCTCGTAATTCATACAGGAAATATCATTTCACACTATCTCATCCAACGGAACAGTATATATACATCGTCAGTCTCAATTCACCCTACATGTACTTCACCCAAGAGAACAGTAAACCCACATTATTAGTTTACCCTACCTCCCCTGACATAATTGTACAACCGCACCATCAGTGTCATTTCATTCTACCTATACTGACATAACTACACATCTTGAACGTAATTGTACAGTGCGCTTACACAATGTCTTTCGTCCTACATCCGCTAACAATACACTCAATATCCAGTATCAATAACACACATAACCTGCATCATTTCGACCTTGCTCTCCAGTACAATACACTGATAACAACGCCCAGAACACCAACAAAAGCTGGAATGGTCTTCTTTAGCATTCTCACAAACATTAAATTCGCCGCTTTCTTAAATTTCTGACGATTCTGTTGGACGCTTTTACGATTACCCACACGTTGATAGTAATCGTTAGCCAGAGGACGTTTGGAGGTCACGAAGTACCGTTCTTCCAACCCAAGAAAGTTGAGACGGTCCATCAAGATGGTAAGAAAGATGTCTGCCATAGTGAATCGGGATCCGAGAAGCCAGCTATCTGTCACTCCTTGCTCTGTAAAACATGTATCGCTATATTAGTACAGGTACCTTAAGACAAACTTTCATCGGTCTTACTTGTACAGGTAGTTCATTTCAAAGTTATCTACTTCTCGCCAGTATAAGTAACTAAGGTCAATGTTATAAAGGTCAACGTTGCACTGGTAGCTCAGATCAAGGTCATAATGGTTTAAGTTGTACAGGTAGCTCAGGTCAAGGTCATAATGGTCTTAGAATTACATGTAGCTCAGATCAAGTTTAAAGAGGTCAACGTAGCACTGGTAGCTCAGATAAGGTCATAATGGTTTAAGTTGTACAGGTAGCTCAGGTCAAGTTTAAAGAGGTCATGGTAATACTGGTAGTTTAGTTCAAGGTTAAAAAATCTTACTAATTCACCTAACTCAGACATAGGTTAATTAGGTCATACATTTACAAGTAGATCAGATCAAGGTTAAAGACGTCATACTATTACAACAGTCACATTACTTTAAAGTCATTTGTCGCTTAACACCATGTAAATTATACTTACATTTAGAAAGGCAATTACACAATCAGTGACATGACACTTGGAACAAGATCAAACTAACCACTTACCTTTACGCGTTTCCGCCAATGTTGATTCGATCTGATCAAACAGTGTATCCAGCTCATTCAGTGCCTGAATGACCACCTCTTTATTTTCCATTTTAGCTAATCGTTCGGTTTGCAAGCTAACTTTAGCGAGGAACTCTTCCCTGAATTCTGGATATTTCTCTGCTTTTTCCTGGAGTGTCTTACTTCCCTTCCGCATGCCTTCTTTTGCTGTCATATAGAATAAGAAGAAAACAGTAAAACCTATATATATATATATATCATATATACGCCTTTCAGATTATCTAAATTTATCGCCACCAATTTCTAGATTTACTGAAACCAAAGGTCAACAACATAAAACAGGATTTTCTAGGTTTTCTGGCACCAAAGGTCAACAACACAAAACATGATTTTCTAGGTTTTCTGGCACCAAAGGTCAACAACACAAAACAGGATTTTCTAGGTTTTCTGGCACCAAAGGTCAACAACACAAAACATGATTTTCTAGGTTTTCTGGCACCAAAGGTCAACAACATAAAACATGATTTTCTAGGTTTTCTGGCACCAAAGGTCAACAACACAAAACATGATTTTCTAGGTTTTCTGGCACCAAAGGTCAACAACACAAAACATGATTTTCTAGGTTTTCTGGCACCAAAGGTCAACAACACAAAACATGATTTTCTAGGTTTTCTGACACCAAAGGTCAACAACATAAAACAGGATTTTCTAGGTTTTCTGACACCAAAGGTCAACAACATAAAACATGATTTTCTAGGTTTTCTGGCACCAAAGGTCAACAACACAAAACAGGATTTTCTAGGTTTTCTGGCACCAAAGGTCAACAACACAAAACATTATTTTCTAGGTTTTCTGGCACCAAAGGTCAACAACACAAAAAAACATGATTTTCTAGGTTTTCTGGCACCAAAGGTCAATAACATAAAACAGGATTTTCTAGGTTTTCTGGCACCAAAGGTCAACAACACAAAACATGATTTTCTAGGTTTTCTGGCACCAAAGGTAAACAACACAAAACAGGATTTTCTAGGTTTTCTGGCACCAAAGGTCAACAACACAAAACATGATTTTCTAGGTTTTCTGGCACCAAAGGTAAACAACACAAAACAGGATTTTCTAGGTTTTCTGGCACCAAAGGTCAACAACACAAAACATGATTTTCTAGCTTTACTGACACCAAAGGTCAATAACATTACACTTGAATTTCTAGGTTCAAAAACAATACACAAGCATGAACAAGAACCTAGACAGCAAAAGCTAAAAACATTCAATCAGGTTGAAATAATATTGAAACAAAACAATATGAAACGTACAAAGCTAAAAAAACGATACAAACAAAACAATAATTCTAGTTAGTAATAGTTACATAGCCCTGTCCAGAGTAGAAAACATATTGATGTGTTACTTTATATTCTGGGCCATCTAGACTCCAGGATCACCATATTGCGAGAGATTCATTCCAGATTTACACTTTATATCCACGAAGAGTATTAGAAAATATGGGAGAACAAGATTTTGTCTACAACCAAATTCGAAATCATGAAAGAAAATCTCCTCACGTAGTTTGTAACAACACTCCATGATCTTGGGGCATCTACTTGTAATAATAATCCTTGTCTATCTAATTCTATTGCAAATTGTAAAGCCACATGTTTTGTCCGATTTCTCCCGAATGAACCTCTAATATCATCCCTCTCATTTTCACATGTTAAATCAATAAGTGTTTCGTTAGACATAGTTTTTTTGTATAAAATATTAAATGCCAGGGTTATCAAAAGGTTCTGAACCTCACAATCTTTCCGGTTGGATGGTAAATGCCCAACCCTTTATCATTGTCATATCAATGTAACATTTGTGATTTCATGTAAGATCATGTTGTTTACTGCTTTTGTTTATAATAACAACATTTTGTTCGAGTAAGCTGGTAAAAAGAACGTTTCTAGTCCTAGAAGGTTAACCTGCCAAACACTGAGCGATTTTCGTGTATGGGGAGTCTTCTCCTTTTTCTGCAACTATTAAACACTGGGTGAAAGATTTCCAGCATGGCAGAAACTTTATAGGATGTCCCCAGATCAGGACGGACATAAACCAAATATGGCCCCCGTTATCAATGTGCTCAAACCACCAGTGAAGGAAAACTATGACTTTTTAAGTTAGTAGAACCAAACAACTTCCGAGAGACCTACGGCGTACTTCGTAACAAAGACAAGGTATGTTCATGATTGTCCCAAAGTAACTTTCGGATGACAAAGCAATCGATCGGCAACCGTCAGTGGAGCCTTGTTAGCTCGATTAAAACACACATCAAGATAATTTTATTTTAGGTTTGTATCCTGTAATGAAACAGGACTTTATCATTATGAGAGTAGACAAATCGACATAATGAAAGCATGTCATAACTCCAAAAGACAAAGAAGTTTAAAGCCCCTTCCCTCAGACAATAATTGCGGCATTTTTGTAAGAAAGTGAAGGAGTGATTCACATTGACTACCTGACCCATAGGAAGACAATAAATAGGGAGCGTCACATTAACCTACTGAATCAGGTAACAAACTACAGTCAAACTTCGATAATTCGATATTCAAGGGACCGTCATAAAAATATCGATACATCGGGACTTCGATACAAAAATAGTTCAGTCAAATAGCTGGTCCACGTATTTAAAAGTTTTTTTCATTATGTTTTAGACAAAAGATAACAATTATGTGTGTATTAATGATTTAAATAAAGACTCAACAATCAAAAACAGTTAAATTGAATTTTATTACGACCAAACAACAATAAATAACATGAAACATTCGAAGTACATGGCAATGAAGTATCACACGTAAATGACGAAATGGGTAAATGTATTTTACGGTAGATAGTGTGTTTTGTGGTACCCCGTACTTGTTGGCAACAGCTTTATCAGGGTGAAGCGTGGAAAAAATGTCGCGAGATTCTGCTTCACAGAGGCAACACGCAAGTCCACACCAGTCGAGTTGTGATGGAAGCTGTACGCGAGTGTGGCTATGAACTTTTCCACACCTTTTCTCCAGACCTAGTCCTTTGTGACTTCCGCTTCTTTCTTAGTCTGATAAACAAATAAAAACAAAACAAAAACTTCGGAGCCGGAGATTAGAGGAGGATAATTCGTGATGCTTTCCAGGGACTGTTAGTGGACCAAGATGTCGAGGTCTTCCAACCGGATATCAAGGACGGACAAACTAGATAGTTAAAAGGAAACTACGCTGAAAGACGTATAAATCCCGAAACTATGCTGAAAGACGTATAAATCCCGAAACTATGCTGAAAGACGTATAAATCCCGAAACTACGCTGAAAGACGTATAAATCCCGAAACGATGCTGAAAGACGTATAAATCCCGAAACTATGCTGAAAGACGTATAAATCCCGCTATCTTTCTGTATGAGGCTCAAAACTTTTTGAAAGTTCGTATCCATAACCTGTTGGAACAGCGACTCTTAATGTACTCCATAGTCTTGGTTTGTAGAGGTGCTTATCCTTTTTGTACTACTGAATGTTCCACTGAAATGGGCGGGTCAGTTTGAGAGGATTAGTTAACTATGCTATGACACACGATAAGTGTTTAGTTTATACCATAGACAGAGTGGCTACACAGAGAAAAGTTTCTGTTCCCGATGAAATAGCAGCTAACAAATTTATCAACTTTATGGTTTAAATTTTACATGTGTAAATAATTATATATATAAACTTTTATTAGTGAGGCCACACAGATAGAGACAAAAATATAAGAAAGGGAAAAATGACAATAATATTCCGATATAAAATTAATGGTATATTGTTATATATACACGTACCTCAGATGATTACAGGACATATAAAATCTTACCTGACTGGAGCCCTTTTTTCATTGCAGACGAGACTTTCATCCCAGTTTGTGACAGTTCCGGATGGAACACTATTCCGTACGTAATAACTGCTATGTTTAAGTCGTTAAAAATTCGTCGCCACTTATCGACTTCCTGTCCAATCTTGGATGATAGATCTGGTATAAGTTTTATTCCTGTGGACGAGACAGTAGATTGAGTTTTATAGAATACACTTTTCCGAAACTCTTTTAACTAGAGATTTTCCCGCAGGAAATAATTTGATCACATTCTTTAATCTTCTCATTTGAGAGTATGCAAATGGAAATACTCCTGGTAATCTCGAGCTGTTTGAAAACAGATGTGACCTGTTGGTGATATATTCAATGTGAATACCAACTGATACATTTCGTATTAAACATACACTGTATCATCAACCTGGTGTAATCAAAAGAATATGAAAGAGAGAGTAGAACAAAAAACATAAATAACAAAAATCGTACAAAAATCTTAAAGCCAAGTAACCGATTTAGTTTACTGAAATTAACCCCTTTCGGTCTCCATACTGTAAAAAAAATACATTGTAACACTTCACTTCTTCTGTTTTTTTACTTCACTTCTTTCACTATTCATCCTTAAATACTTAATTGACCGTGGCGATTCGCTACTGATTGAACATGCTCAAAAGCCTAATCATTCTGAGGGGTCCGGACGCTGCCAACACCGAAACCATGGTAACTGTATTAGCTCCTCTATTCCACGAAAAGGCCAGCGACACGAAGATTAAAAATTATTGGACACAAGATGAAGTAAGGCTAAATCAACATTCTCCCAAAACAGACACAACGTTGAGAAGGGAGGCAACTCTAATTGATTAAATCTTTATAATTCGTAAGGGTTTATTAAAGTACTGTTTCTCTTAGCAAAAACGACCTGATGATTTCGTTATTATCTTTGGTCTATTTGATTCTCCGTCCCTTATACAACAGCGTCTATATCGGACAAACAGGAAGCGTTACGGATGAACATATATATATATAATACATATCCCACGATAGAACAACAGACAACGGAAAACATTAACTGTTTTTAAAAAATTAGTCTCCATAATTTTTGAGCGAATATTTTTTTAGTCGTAACAGTAGCTAAAGAGATAGATGATATTTTATACACTTACAAATGTACTGAAACGAAAATTCCAGAATGTAAATTCTTTGTCAAATAATCCCGTTTTATATTATTACATACACTATTATATATTCATGGATTTTGCACTCATAAATATGTATCTTGCTTAGTACTGTTTACGCCATAACGTAAGAGTTCGAGAAGCCAGTGATGTGAAACGAAGTCTCCTGTAACAAATGTCGGGACGCACGTACAAGTATAAATGTGTAGAAGCAACTGTGACTTTTATAATCTAAAAAAAAAATACCGACATCTTTAAGGACTATGTAACTTGTACATCAGAATAATTTATCATGACCTAAACGCTAAATAGACGGTATGGTATAGATCTGTATAGATACCCGAATGGGGGTATGCTATATCTGTATAGATACACGAATGGAGGTATGTAAGATCTGTATCTGATACACGACTGGAGTTATGGTATATCTGTATAGATACGCGACAGGGGTTATGCTATATCTGTATAGATACACGACAGGAGTTATGCTATGTCTGTATAGATACACGACTGGAGTTATGTAAGATCTGTATAGATACACGACAGGAGTTATGCTATATCTGTATAGATACACGACTGGAGTTATGTAAGATCTGTATAGATACACGAATGGAGTTAAGGTATATCTGTATAGATACGCGACAGGGGTTATGCTATATCTGTATAGATACACGACTGGAGTTATACTATGTCTGTATAGATACACGAATGGCGGTATTTAATATCTGTATAGATACACGAATGGAGGTATGGTATAGATATGTATAGATACACGAATGGAGGTATGTATGATCTGTAAAGATACACGAATGGCGGTATTTAATATCTGTATAGATACATGAATGGAGGTATGGTATATATCTGTACAGATGTACGACTGGAGGTTTGGTATAGATCTGTATAGATGCACGAACAAAGCCAGACAAGAAGTAAAACCTAAGGATGCCGTTTAGCAAAATGATTTATGTGTGGGCAGTATGTATTTGTTAAGGCAGAAAACACACGTGTACATTGTAATATGACCCATCATTTTACTGACGTAGAACTCCTTAACTATTGTAGTCGCTTGGCATTGAGGAAAAAAATAGCAAGCCATTTTCTCTTTTTGTCGCCAATTTATCTACCGGAAGTAAACAGGTTAACAAAAAGTAACAACAAACAAATCGGTAACCGGTCTGGAATTTTCGGATAATCAATGTTTATCGTCTCCCGACTTGACCAGTATTATAGGTTAACATAACACTATTCTCACCAGTATCCAGCTCTTTGTCCAAATAAGTTACGATATCTTCCGAGTCGGTAAAGACCTTTCCCTGGGCTTCAAGTGCCGGGACTGTTCCTTTTGGAGTCACTTTCAAGTACCAGGGTTCGTTCTGCTCGCCGGCGTGGATCATAATCACTTGCTCCCGAAATTGTGCCTCTTTCTCGAACAAAGTCAGCAACACCTGTGTTTCCAAAGCAACACACGTTAACCTTCGTCAACCAATGAAAATGAAATTGTATCCACAAAATTAGAATAAGGTGCAACAGAGTTAAATAATTAAAACTGCATCATACAACTATTCCGTACATACAGGACTTTCAGAGATGCCATGACCACATGTGGAGAGATCAAAGAAAACAGTCGGGAAAATTAATGCCGATATTTTACAAACTTTATGTAATTGTAGTTTGTTCAACTTCCATATTGATTTTTTTAATAACATCAAATATTTGTGTATTTCATTAATAAATAAACTTTGTCATTATCGGTTTTCAAAAATACTTCTGACAATACGGCAAAATTTCGAACGAATGTACACAGGACACACTGTTCCCCTATCAAACAAAGTTAAAAATTGCAGAGTTAAAATTGAGTTGTTGGATGGAGAAGTAACGCACCGGGTTCAATTCCCTGAATTTATCTTGTATGTGAAAAGGTCAAAGGTCATCTGTCCGACCCTACTTTGGTATCCTCCCACGTTAAGACCCCAACGATTGAAATCGATTCGGGCAAACAAGAATAATTAGTAGAAGCTGGTATAACTTGTTTTGCAATTACTGTTAAATAAATAATTGTTTTCATTAAAATGTATACGCCACATGCAGGATACGTCTCGCAGACTTGTTCTAAGGCTTCGCTAAAACCTTAATTTGGGACTGAATGGATGCCCCCTTTTCATAAAGAAAATGATTAGCAATAGTTTTTTACATATTTACATACCCCATGGTGCGCGCTATTCACTGACGCTATGAAAATGAAAAAAATAATAAAATCCATTCTATTAATTTATTTACATTTGGAAAAAAAATAATTGAAGAAAAAGCAACAGCACTTCTGTTAATTTCACGATTTGAATAGCTACATCGGATTAAAAAATAATCAGTTTAATAGTTCTAGATCGGTAGCCGTTTTCACATTTAGTGTTATTTACTTCTTAACGGAAGTTCAATTGAATCATTTTGTGATGCTAGATGAAGGGAGCTTACTCTTACTATAAAAAAGTGCAACCATATCTAAACAGAACATCCTTTCTTCACACTTTCAACTCATATTTCTAGCCACCAATGTGTCTACTATCATGGTTACCGACGAATTTTAATCTTCATATTTACACAAAAGGCCAACACTCACCAGTCTAGCGCAGACGTACAGTGTGATCTATTTTGAGTGTGAGCGAGAGTCGAAAACTGTCCATCATTTTACATCGAAATAGAAGATGGAAGCAGACTCACAAAACACTGTACTTTTTCATGTTATTGGTGATTTAGGGTTAAATTGATTTGAAAATTTGCCTTTAAAAATGACAGAGGAATGAAGTGACAAATAAAACCGATATCACCATTACAAATTAGTAAATAATAACTACATAATTATCTGCCCTCCCCAAGTGTGCCGTCTTCTATCGAGAAAATTGGCTTTTATTATATTACTGTGGATAACGAAACTGACAAGGCCGAGTTCAGCTCTTCACTGTAGTTATTTCTCTCAATAACACATACTACACGCGTACTTCTACAGAACAGGTACGTAGTACATTTTACATAGTGTACCTTATATGACTAGCTGCAGAAAAGGTTTAACTCGGTACAAACAAGAGGCTCATAAGGTCTGTTGGCTGAAATTGCTTCATCCATATTCAAAGATACTACACAAACTACTATAAACTCCCCATTGGGTCCCATTCCTCTGTCCTTGCATGTCAGCCAAACCATTCATGATCAAATTTTGACATAATCCTGCGGGCCAGGTGAATTAAAAAATAGTTACTATTTCCCAATTTATTTGAGTAGTTTTATGTTACGAAAATCTTTTGACTGAATACCGCCTTTCTTTGTTACTATCTGTCTGCACTGCGTTGATAACCCGCGACCTGAATATTGACCCGTTCAGGCCACCGGCGACCTCCACTAAACATGTGTTTGCATAATGCCGATACACTGAAAAGTTGACTCGTAAATCTAACAAGTGACTAGGCATATGTGACCGTATATACTCTTGTGTTAATTATCAGCGTTGGTATTTAAAACAGACATTTACCTTCTGAGAGAAGAATGAAGTTGGAAAGTAGTACAGCTTTAGGTCCGCCATGATAAATTCCCAGGGTTAACCGATGACTTATATAAATTACCACCACGTGTTAATATTTGCACATGGAAGTTCCGAAGATGAGTGTAAATGTCACGTGTCGTCACCTTCTTCTCTAAACAGTTCGGCGGGAGTTGTCAGTTCAGTGATAGGCAAGGTTAGGCAATGCTGGTTCCATGTACGTTTACACGTTTGTAGTCGCCGTGAACTCGCCCCTCAAGGTAACCCGAACACGTGCCACAGGCACATATATATGACACTGTTCAAATATACACCACACACTGTACCGACACGGTAACATGTTCTTCTTCAAAATGACGTTCAACTAACAGAGCTGGTATCGGTATACTGCAACTGTAGGTAGTAAAGAGAAATTTTCCCAATCTCGACCTTTAATCTACAGTGGTGCCTGAACTAGCGACCTTATGAGGTACATTCAACAGACCAATGTGAGATGTGCTTCTTCAGTAATCTTTTTTATTAATTCAACTTGTTTTTTATATCCTTTGTATATTTTCCTTTTAAACCCCACACTTATTTTTTAAGTATTTATATTCTAAATGAGATTTATTTTTCCTTGAAATTCTATACTTCATCATTGTATGCTAAGATTAATTATTGTTGTCTTAAGAAAGCATTTGTATTGTTTACTTTGGGTTATTTATAAAATCAATATATGTTCGATATGACTCGTCGTATCCTAAATGATCTATTTGTGCACACGTAAAACTGTTTGTATTTAATAACTGTCATGACGATTGTATCCTGATTGTACTAGAATTCAAAGCCGTATTCCATTTGTATTGTAGAAACAAAAAGAACAGAGCAATGAAAATGATATAGTATGAATTATTATTATCAATATGTTACAGCATAGATTGCAAATTTGAAATATAAGACTTCTAACCAAGTTTGAATTAAAAGAAATTTCACTCAAGATTTAAATTTTCATATGTTAAATATTCCATCCAAGAACAGTAGATCATCTTTTCTGTAGTAGACCCATTTTTGGCCTCTCCCATCAACCCCTGGGGGTCAGTCAAGGTCAATATTTTCATCTCATCAAACTGTCAGCTTATACAAATAAAAACTAAATTCTAACCACGTTTGAACTATTTCTGAAAAAAAATCAAATTGTGCTCAAAAATGTCATTTTCTCAGATAAACTATAGTAAATTTTAACCCCTCCCTGGGGCAAATGCGAGGCCCTGGGGTCATGAAATTTACAATTTTGGTAATCCTTGATTCTACCATACCTGGGATTTGAGAAGAAGATTTCAGTCAATTTGACCCATTTTTTACCCTTCTCAACAACCCCTGGGGGCAAGCCGAGGTCAATATGTACATCCCATAAAATTATCATCTTAAACTAATAATTCTGACCAGGTTTGAACTATTTCTAATCGAAAATAAAAGAAATAATTTTTAGAATGTGATTTTTCTATATAAATTATCATATATGAATTTTACCCCTCCCCAGGGGCAAATGCGAGACCCTATTGTCATGAAATTTACAATTTTGTTAAAACATCTGAAGGCCTTTCCATCCATGGAGAGTTCTTGACTCTACCATACTTTGAGAAGAAGATTTTTGAAATTTCAATCAATTTGACCCTTTTCGGCCCCGCCCCTCAAGCGCCTGGGGTTGGAACCATATAACTTACCATTTTGCTGCGCCTTTAGCCAAGGAAGGTTTTTGTAAAATTTCATTGAAATTGATTTAGGAGTTTTTCATCAGAAGTCAAAAATGTTGAAAGTTTACGACGTACAAAAGGGGATCGCAATAGGTCACCCTAACACTTTGTCTCAGGTGACATAAAATACAAATAACAAAAAGCATATTATGGAAGCTGCAATTTGGAATAAAAACTTTGCCTCTTGATCCTGGAATATTTAAGTATTCCGGGTTATAAATGCAGATCTTCATATTCGGTTCTCTGATCATTCCATTCCGAGGTTTGTCGCCTCTGTTGGAATATCACTTCCATAGGTGGCGCCACGTTCGTTTTTTCTTTAGATAAGTCGTATCGTGTGCAGCATTACAGAAGTTACAGAGCATTCCTACGGTAGCTGATTGGTGCTATTTCGTAATCTCAGTTTTTGACGTGAAATGACGAGAATTAAAAGTCTAAATTATCCTTCTTTCTTTTTTTGTCTCTCGGCGATTAGGCGAAAAGGTAACAAATTTTATGCGAAGTAAATACGCTCTAATTAGCTGTATTAATTCTCGTCCTTTCAGGTTTAAATATCGCGTATTTTCGTGTTTTCGTGCCGGAAGACAGAATATAAGCTGTATTAATTTTTTTTTTCGAGGGGAAAACACCAATGAAGAGAAATAAGATTTGCTAATTCTCCTCTTTTCGATTTTTTATTCTCGCCTTTTCGCGACGAAAGGTGAAACTGCAAAGTTGCACAAAGGAGCCACGTACTTAAATAACAATAAAGTTGATAAAGGAGAGTTGTTAACACAAACCTTGTTAATCTGATTTCCGATTACCACGGTATGAACGGGAAAGTGAATGTATACTTTGTCGCTAATGATAGATAAAGGGCGAGGGTTATTCGGATAGTGGACCGTATGATGGCCGAGTGATTGGATGCGCGTGAGCGATTTGGACAACAATGTAATGTCGAATGATGTAAAGGACACAACTGAATGATTTAGTTAGTTGGATCTATGTGTTAGCCCATGCCATTCGTTTATCATGGATCTCTCCCCCAACTGGTTAGTGAAACTTCTGGCATGACATTGAAATGGACTTGCCTGCATGAACCATGCCAAACATGTATGGTCTCTCATTAAACGCGGAGTTTATGTTGAAAATCAGGGAAATATTAGAAATATTGTTTTCACAATACACATGGAAGTTGTTGTTGAGAAAAAATGTTGGTAACCTGATTTTATAAAATGAATACTAATATTTCTAATTGACTGATGCATGCATTGCATGTCTATGTTGTTTCTTTAACATGATTATTATTATATGTATTGTGTATGTTTGTTTTGAGAGTTCACTCTTCATGTATGTCTGTAGGTAGGTACGTATCACTCTTCATGTATGTCTGTAAGTAGGTACGTATCACTCTTCATGTATGTCTGTAGGTAGGTACGTATCACTCTTCATGTATGTCTGTAGGTAGGTACGTATCACTCTTCATGTATGTCTGTAGGTAGGTACGTATCACTCTTCATGTATGTCTGTAGGTAGGTACGTATCACTCTTCATGTATGTCTGTAGGTAGGTACGTATCACTCTTCATGTATGTCTGTAGGTAGGTACGTATCACTCTTCATGTATGTCTGTAAGTAGGTACGTACATATCACTCTTCATGTATGTCTGTAGGTAGGTACGTACGTATCACTCTTCATGTATGTCTGTAGGTAGGTACGTATCACTCTTCATGTATGTCTGTAGGTAGGTACGTATCACTCTTCATGTATGTCTGTAGGTAGGTACGTATCACTCTTCATGTATGTCTGTAGGTAGGTACGTATCACTCTTCATGTATGTCTGTAAGTAGGTACGTACATATCACTCTTCATGTATGTCTGTAGGTAGGTACGTACGTATCACTCTTCATGTATGTCTGTAGGTAGGTACGTATCACTCTTCATGTATGTCTGTAGGTAGGTACGTATCACTCTTCATGTATGTCTGTAGGTAGGTACGTATCACTCTTCATGTATGTCTGTAGGTAGGTACGTATCACTCTTCATGTATGTCTGTAGGTAGGTACGTATCACTCTTCATGTATGTCTGTAGGTAGGTACGTATCACTCTTCATGTATGTCTGTAAGTAGGTACGTACGTATCACTCTTCATGTATGTCTGTAGGTAGGTACGTACGTATCACTCTTCATGTATGTCTGTAGGTAGGTATGTACGTATCACTCTTCATGTATGTCTGTAGGTAGGTAGCAAGGTATCACTCTTCATGTATGTCTGTAGGTAGGTATGTATGTATCACTCTTCATGTATGTCTGTAGGTAGGTAGCAAGGTAT